CCCACCCCACCCCCACCCCACCCCACCCCCACCCCCACCCCCACCCCCGCCCCCACCCCCACCCCCACACCCACCCACCCCCACACCCACCCCCACACCCACACCACATTCTCAAGGTATTGAGCACACCCACAGTGTACTGCTGCTATGGAACGAAGCTACTCTGGAGCGAGTGAAGGAGGGCCGTGCCGTACTGGGTACGGACATACACGTCATGGTGGGGCAGGTGAGGGCCGCGCAGGCGTGTGTATGTGTGTGTGTTTTGTCTCGTATCCATGTCCGTACGAGTGCGCAGAGGCGCATGAAGGGGGGGATGAGGGAGCTCGTGGGCCCTATCCTCTCCAGGAGCGTGTGCGGGTCCTGAGGCGCGTGAAGCACCTCACGAAAACCCGTCGCGGGGTGGAGGAGGGAGGTGAGGCGAGGAGGGGGGGAGAGGTGGTGGCTGATGAGGCCGGAGGAAGGGTGGGGGAGGGGAAAGGGGAGGCAGTTGCAGGAAGCCTTAGCTCGCTTGTTTGTATGCACCGTTAGCACCGTTAGTACCGTTAGCACCGTTAGTACCGTTAGCACCGAGGACAGAGTAGCGGAAAAAGCCCTACCCGCCCCCGCTTGATTGATTTGGGCGCCCGCCCGCCGACACAACACGGCTTTTAAATTGATGCTGGGGGGCCGCATGCGACTTTAGTAGTTTTTTTAGCGTGCATGTCATCCCACCATCCGTCCAACCCCGACTGGGTGTGTTTTTACCCCCCATGTGTGTATGTACGGGTGTGTACGACGTACGACAGCGCGCCGAGGCAGAGGACAGCAGCGGCGACCCCCGGACTGGTGACTCCGGGGGCCCCCATCTGGGCCTGAGTGGAGTGGGCGGTGCAGGGGGTGGGCTGGTGGGTGACGAGGGTTGGCGGTTGGCGGTTGGTGGTTGGCGGTTGGGGGTCATTAACGTTGTCTGAGTCTGAAAGGCGAAAGTCGTTAGGCGGCTAGGGAGGAGGAGTGTTTTATTGTTGTTGTCCGTGTGCAGCTGTGTTTTTATTTTTGTGTATTTGCATCTTATTTGCATCTTCACCTTATCACCTTCATCACTACTTGACCTTCATCATTTTCATGACCAGTATATGTATATATGTCGACCAGTATATGTTTATATGTCGACCAGTATATGTTTATATGTCGACCAGTATATGTTTATATGTCGACCAGTATATGTTTATATGTCGACCAGTATATGTTTATATGTCGACCAGTATATGTTTATATGTCGACCAGTATATGTTTATATGTCGACCAGTATATGTACATATGTCGACCAGTATATGTACATATGTCGACCAGTATATGTACATATGTCGACCAGTATATGTACATATGTCGACCAGTATATGTATATATGTCGACCAGTATATGTATATATGTCGACCAGTATATGTATATATGTCGACCAGTATATGTTTATATGTCGACCAGTATATGTTTATATGTCGACCAGTATATGTTCATATGTCGACCAGTATATGTTCATATGTCGACCAGTATATGTACATATGTCGACCAGTATATGTACATATGTCGACCAGTATATGTACATATGTCGACCAGTATATGTACATATGTCGACCAGTATATGTACATATGTCGACCAGTATATGTACATATGTCGACCAGTATATGTACATATGTCGACCAGTATATGTACATATGTCGACCAGTATATGTACATATGTCGACCAGTATATGTACATATGTCGACCAGTATATGTACATATGTCGACCAGTATATGTACATATGTCGACCAGTATATGTACATATGTCGACCAGTATATGTACATATGTCGACCAGTATATGTACATATGTCGACCAGTATATGTACATATGTCGACCAGTATATGTACATATGTCGACCAGTATATGTATGTTGTTACAGGGTGGTTAACAGGGGCACCCTAATCCGTCACCCCATCCGACTTCAGAGTGTATTCGTTGGGTTCGGCAACTCACCACCAGCATCCAACCAAATCTAGCGGATCAACGGCGCATCAACTTAGTTCCTGGTCAGCTCGCAAGTTGATATTATCACGTCCTACACCGTCCATATGATGGGGGGCCACCTCCCATTTCATCACTCCTCAAACACCCGAGGAGCTGGCAGGCGGATTTGAACCCGGGTCAACTGGGTCGACTGGGAGCAGAAGTCAGGCCTTAACTTCTGCCAGCCGCCTGCCAGTATATGTATATATGTCGACCAGTATATGTATATATGTCGACCAGTATATGTTTATATGTCGACCAGTATATGTATATATGTCCTAATGAACACTTTCCCGTCAACCAACGATTGACCAGCGTCCCCTCCCCTCCCCTCCGGCCCCCCCCTTCCGCCCCCCGTCCTCCACCACGCTTGCTTTACCGCCCAACAAATGCTCCGTTCGATGCCGCACCCCGGCAATCAATTTCACAGTAGCTTTGTTGGTTGCGGCCCCCCTTCCTAATCCCCTCCACCCCACCCCCCTTAAAACCCCCACCCACCGCCCCTTCCTAGACGCCAGGAGTCGGGAGTTGGGGTTGGATGACGAGCTGCTTGCCGCCCCTATTACATAGAAATAGGTATATATATATATACCTCACACATTCTTCCAACCCTGCACCTAATCCCTATCCTTTTATATATGTACGTATGTATGTACGTATGTATGTGCCCTCCCCCCCCGCCCCAGGTGGGAGGCGGTCTGGTGGGGGGTCTCAGTCTGGGCGGCATTGAGCTGCCGCTCCTGCCACACACGCACCACATACACACACGCACCGCCCACCAGCAGCAGCAGCCAGGCGCGGGGACCCGCCTCCCAACAGCCAGCCCAAAACCCTCCTCTGCCTCCTCCGCCTCCTCCGCCTCCTCACACCGCCCCCAAGGTATCGGCCATTCCAGCCCCCATCAGCGACACCATCAGGACGTGCGGTTGGATCAGGCGGAGGAGTTAGTGCGGGAGGGGGAGTGGGAGGGGCTGGGGGGAGAGGGGGGAAAGGGAGGGGAGAAGCAGCAGCAGCAGCAGCAGCAGCAGTGGGAGCGGGAGGGGGAGGGGGGCAGCAAGGAGAGAGCGCCGGCCGGCCCTGAACAGCAAGAGGCGGCAACTGTAGCAGCGAATACGGCAACGAGTACGACAATATCGACGTATACGGTGCATGATGGCGCGCTGCTTGATTTCAGCCTACTCGGTGGGTGTCTGGCGGTGGGGTCTGGGTGGTGGTGTGGGAGGAGGAGGAGGGTGGTGTGAAGTTGGGGGGTACGAAATGGGGGTTGGTGTGACTCGTGTGTATATAGGTGTGTATGTGTATGTGTGTGTGTCGTTTTATGCGTCTGCGGGATAAACAGGGTGGACAGACGAGGGTGAGATCATCGCAGTAACGGAACAAACTACCAACCGCATTGAACGCGGGAGGGGATTTGCAGCTCTGTTCGCGGCCAACAAACACCTTCGCCGCCGCCAGAGCGTCCTTTTTATTAAATCGGCGATGATTCTTCGTTTGTTATATAACATTTAACATTATTAAATAACACATGGCTACGTGTATTTATTTTATTTCGTGTGCTGTTGTACACAGCACCACGCGCATTCCTTAGTTGCTGTTAGTGGTTTGGTTGTTATGGTTGTTATGGTTGCGGTTTCTTGGTTCCGGCAGGTGGCGCACTGCACCCCGACAACCGACACAACAGGGCCGTGTACGGCGAGGGCATCACGCCGGACGACATCCTGTACGGCAGGTGGGGTTTTAGATTAAATAATCTCAGCTAACAGGGTCCATCTTCCGTACACTTCGGTACAGCGTTCGTTCCGCCTTCAGCACCCGATAAATCACGAATCGTCCTGAACACTCCCTCAACTGTCAACCGTCAGCCGTTGTATCCTTCCACCACCAGCAACCACCGCCATGACCAGAGAGATCGGCAGATTGGTTTCTACGGCTGCGGGAGGGCATGATTTCGGTCGCAATAAACCTAAAAACATGTAAAGTTAAACCCTAAGAGTTCACATCATTAGGGAGCCGCCGCCTGACGGGGGGCCTTACGCCGAATTTCGGCTGCGGGTACTGCAGTACTGCGGACCCGCAGTGGTACGGACCCGCAGTACCCGCCTTTTTTGCCGACCTCTGGTCATGACCACCACCACCACCACCACACCATCCGTTAGAATCTGCCGGATCAACGGCGGCGTCAACTCCAGTTCCGGTCCGCTTTCTTAGGTTTTGCTGTTCTCATCGGCGTGGGGTTGCATCCGCCCCCTCTCCCTAGGGGCCTCAGGGGGCCTTATCCCGCTGCTCTTATGTCGGGGTGGGGATGCGACACGCATGTATGTCCGTATGTATGTCCGTATGTATGTCCGTATATATGTATGTATGTATGTATGTATGTATGTATGTATGTATGTATGTATGTATGTATGTATGTATGTATGTATGTATGTATGTATGTATGTATGTATGTATGTATGTATGTATGTATGTATGTATGTATGTATGTATGTATGTACGTATGTATGTATGTATGTATGTATGTATGTATGTATGTATGTATGTATGTATGTATGTATGTATGTATGTATGTATGTATGTATGTATGTATGTATGTATGTATGTATGTATGTGTGTTCT